GCACAGTGAGAAGGAAAGAAAGGAGAAGACAGCCTGGGGCTGAGGGTCGGGGTTTTTAAATAAAGTAGTGAAAGAAACCTCTGAACAAAGATGTGACCGAGATGAGCGGCTGAGCAAGCAAACAGCAGGAGGAGGCAGAGGCCTTGCAAGAGCGCGAGTCCAGCACAGACGTAGGGCTTCTAGTGCGGGTGGGTGAGGCACAGCAGGAGCCAAAGTCAGAAGATGAGGCCTTGAGCTGCATTCATGTGAAGTCTGCTGGGCATGATGAGCAGAATGTGCTTCCAGAGAAGGATTATCACGAGCCCTTCCAGGTGCCAGGCTCTGTCAAGTCCTTGCATCCTCCAGCCCTCTCAACCACTTCCCCTCCCAACCCTGTGTGGGAGGCACTAGCGTTGCACTGGTGTTACAGTCAAGACGCTGAGCTGTAGGCCAATTCAATCATTTTCCCAAGGTCATAAGCACTGGTAAACGGTAATGAGGGGGTTCATATTCAGAACTTGAACTCTCGCTGCTGCTCCCTGGAGGCTGATTTTAATCATTAAGCAAAAGCGGGTAGTAAGGATGGTGGAGACGCGGGAGGGGCCTGTGGGAAGCAGGGACGCGCACTGAGGATTGGGGCAGCAACCGCAGAGGAGGAAGCGTGAACTGAGCACCTAGGACATAAGCAGAGCACAAGGCAAGAGGGGCAGAGGACACATCAGAGCAGGCAGGGACCTGCCAACTGCACAACAGCTGCTCAGGTCAAAGGGCCCAGCCACACTCCTGAGGGGCTCAAGAACAGAAGGCAGGGTCAGGGCCCATCCGCAGGCTGGCAGCAGAACAAGGTGAATTCATGAGACCAGGAAAGGCTTCGCACTGTGCTCATCACAAATCACAGACAACTCGTAGAAGGTAGCCTGCTCCCTGTTTAGACTCCTCTGAACCAAAGCATGGCAACTTCCTCTTACTCAATGGAACCCAATATTTTGAAATAGGCACTCTTGCTGCTTCTTCTAGTGCAAGCAATGCTTGTAGTGAACACAGGCCCCTGGTGGAGAACGTGCCACATACTGCACGGACCACACTGAGCATATCATCTCATTTTATCACCGAAGCACTATCAGCTGGTTGATCTCCAGCCCGAGTGGAGGACACTGAGGATCCAAGCACCTAGATCACTCTCTAAGCCAGGCACTTACGGGGAAAAATCATCACAGCCTCCAGGGTCTGCATAGCCCGAAGCTTGCACTCATATCACCGGCCACACCACCTCCCACGCTACGACCACGTTAGATGTGTGAGGAGGAAGGACAAGCGGAGCGAATGCTGCTGCAGCTCCGGCCTCTGGCTCTCCTTGCTCTCACAGCTGTCCCTGCGGAAGCTCTGCTCTTGCTGCTTGGTGCCTGGCCAGTAGGAAGGGGGCTGCTCAGCATCTACCCCATGTCAAGGATGCTTCAGTTTCTCCAGACTCTCCACAACTCCACAAGCTCAGAAGCTTCAGGGCTCACCACAACCAGGGGCTCAGCTGCAGGACTAAAGATCTGGCAAGGGGTTTTGCAAAGAAGCTCAAAGCTTGGCAGATAATCACCTCCACTCTTTCCCTGGGTTCCTCACTGTGTACCTCCCAGGGGGTCAGTCATTGTACAAAACCCTAGTCATTCTCAGCCATATTTAGGTCATTAAGCCACTCAGAGTCTTCTGTACATAACCTCCACCACGTAGGAATTTCCACATTTTGATGACGCCTTCTTATGGCAAAGGTTGGAACCTGATTTTCCAGCTTTCATTTTAGTTGCGGTACAGGCTGTGGCTAGAGACCCCTGGCCCAGACATTCACTGAAGAGCAAGTGACATGGGGTGGGGACAAGATGCCCACTTTTTTGGGGCATAGGTTAAAATGAGTCATTTCACAAAAGTTTAATAAAATAAAAATGCTACTCCTTCTCAACCACTTCCCCTTCTCCTGCAACCAACTGCATCCTGCTTACCTAATACAAGAAAATCCTTTTCCTGTTTTTGTGCAGTACGTGCAAAGAAAAATGGCAAGGGAACAAACAACAGGAGCTAGATCAGCTGCGATTGCACACATGGGGGAGAAGAACAAAGAAAGAGCAGGAAACAGAAACACAATACCAAACACAATAAGCCCAAAAGGAATAATTATATTCTTACTTTGTACCAGCTGGCTTGGGAATCTCAAAGCGCCACACCTCTATCTTCTAGTTTTCTAAGCAAGATGCCCACCAATGTGGGCAAAACCCCAATTTCTCCAGTGTCTTTGAGGCATCACTGGAAAGCAGACCATGGCTAAAGATTTTGCAATGAACAAGACAGAGAAAACTTAGCATCTCCTACTACAAAGCCCCCATTGCAGGTGAGCCGCTATTTTTGTTCATAGTAAAGGATTTAGGGAGAAGTCTGTTCTGTGTCTATTCTAAATTTAATTTTTTTTTCTTAATTTTTTTTCTGTATTTTAGGGAAGGGTCTACAGGGTGTTCAGGGTCTCACAACTAGATGGGAATCATAGTGATTCTTCTGTTTACAGCCTCCCAAGTGCTGGGATTATAGGCATGTGCCACCATGCCCAGTCTCAATTGTGGTCTCAGTGCACTCCAGAGGTGGGGCTGGCACAGCAGGCCCAAGGATTGAACCCCCAGCCCCTGCACCTGCTTGCAGGTGCTTTAATCCTCTGAGCTATTTGGCCAGCCCAACACCATCTATTCTGATCAAACATCCATGGTGCTCCATACACTGAGGATATAGCAAGGAATGACAGATCATCACATTCCTTAAAGTGCCAAAAACCAGACACTTAGCACTGACCGAAGAGTTGGTATTTCTGCAAGATGATGGCATTGAGGCAGAGAAGAAAGCAAGGAAACAAATGTACATTGTTCCAGTTAGTAGGAAGGAAGAAAATAAGGAAAGGAGAGAAGACAGTGGAGAAGGAGAAAGGAAGGGAGAGGGGGAAGAGGAAAAGAAGGAAGAAAAAGAAGAAGGAAAAATAAAAAATAAACCAAAGAGATGACTTAGAGAAGAAGATATGAATAGAAAAGATGTGTCCTTCTTATAGGTAGGTCCACTATTCTCACTTGGAACATGGAATGGCATACCCTTACCTATTCATCTAGAAATGAATGTCTGCATCCTTGAACTCCAAGGAGCTCAATTCTTAGGAAACTTTTTTTTGTTTGTTACCCTAATGCTTGGCAAATTATTGAGAAGTATTTCCCATCTTGGAAGAGTATTGCCTAAGATTAAACTAAAAAACAAGGCAGAGCAATTGCAGCATATACTTCACTTCCAGAATAACCTAAGTGGCAGAGGCTTTGTGGCGGCTCTCTACTTCTTACCTGCAATTTCAAAGAGTTTCTTAGGAAGATCCCAAATGATTGCCCATCTCAGATGCCTTGTCAAGCACCAAACATTAGCCATCCATCCACTGCCATGATCAAATGAGACTTTGGCTTCTCTTGCAAAGTCCTCTCTTCAACACAAATCTACACCACAAGTGGCTGACATGACACATGGTCAGTGGGGCCATTGCTAAACAGATGCCTATTTACCTCCTTCTGCCACTTTGCTTGGTTAAGGTCATAGCACATGACCTAAGACAGTTCTCAGCCTGGGATGTTGTTGGAATAACAAGGAGGACTGAGCACTTGTTTCCTCCAATAGCTCCATACTGAAAAACGTGCTTCAGAAGGCAGCCAAGGAAAAGGAGAGCCAAGATCTAGCAAGACTGATATGATCCACTGATGCTGAGCAAGCAACTTCAGCCACAGCCAAGGACAACACACTCCAAAGATTTTTCAGTAAAGTAAAATAAAGTCTTACTTCTCCCTATAATAATGTGAATTGATTTTCCTTCATTTACACTGATAAGAATACAGACAACACATTCCTTGTACCTTTATTTCCCATTGCATACAACCAATCTGACCACACGCATAACCAATCCTCTACAAGGGAACAAATGTACATTGTTCCAGTTAGTAGGAAAGAATAAGAAAGGAAGAAAATAAGGAAAGGAGAGAAGACAGTGGAGAAAGAGAA